GATGAAAATTATGTTGATGTTGGTCAGTTGCTTTATGAATCAAATAGTTCTGATTGTACTAATTTCAGTTTGCCTGATCACCTGACATATTTAACAAATTTTATATTGTACCTTTAATAAATATTATTAACTAGGAGTATTTTGTTTTTGGTCCACWCGACATCTACTTTRCAGCAGGATGATGACTTCCTYAATTCGTRTTTATACCTTTGTTACTCCCTTAGTCCCTTGGCTCTTATTGGTTCTTTATGTAATATATGTTGAAGTTCATGTTTGGTGATACACATGATATAATAAATTAAGTCAAACGTAAAAATGTTATATACCTAGGCATGAAATTAAACGACATTAAATTTAATATATATATATATATATTTTTATTTTTATTTTTATAATTATCTGTTATTTATCTAGAAAAATATTTTTATTTGTTTATCTTTTATCTGTATCTTAGATGAAATTTAGTGTTGTTATCTTTATCTTTATTCAGATGATTTTTTTGTTATCTGTTCCTATAACACTGCAGGTATTTCCTTAAGAATAAATCTATCACTTATGATTCGTAACATAATACTTAAAAATATGTAAGTCCTCTTCTAAGAATAATAATTAGACAGTATAGTTAGACAGTAATACCTATAGTATTTTTATTAATATATATTAAATAACATGAATATAATACAACCTTATATAATACYAATCTATAATCGAAATACTTTGTAAATAAAATACAATTTGTCAATTTGTCAGTAAACTTAAGGTTCTTTTTATCAATTTCCATTTCACAAAGCCCTCTCTTCTTTTTGTTTTCACTTGTATATCTAACAAACTTATGATGTTTTGTATTAAACGATACTCGTATAATCGGAGGTCGTATTATGTCCGTGTATTCAAATGCAATGCAATTAGATCATTAAAAGAGTCAGGAGGTAATATAGAGGCCACGTTGTACAAATACGTTGTACCTATACGTATATTACAAGAGCCGTAGAATTCAACCTGTTTATTTTATTTTTTGTTATTACTTTCAGCAATTGTTCAACTCATGACTTTTAAGAATAATTTGAAAACTATTAAATATAATAATATACGAATATTGTTGTATCATGTATTATTATTATAATTATACCTATAGTTAATATACAATTTATCAACCTGTATAATTGTTTTTTATGGGTATATCATGTTTAATTTTAACTTGTTATACCTCCAAATCCAGAACGACACAATCTATAGTATTGTTAACTATCATATTTCATTCCTTTTATAAATTAGATAATGTATATATTATCATTTAACCTAATTCAATGTTTATTAAAAGTATAATTATATGATATTTCATTTAATTATAAATATAATAAAGATTGACTAGGTATTTATTTATTCGGGTTGAAAGTTTTGTCTCATTGAACTATATGAACTTAACCAGTTAACCAATAACAATGACCTCTGCAGAAATTTATCATTGTCTATCCGGTTATCAGGTTTGTCATATAACAACAGCATTTATAAACGAATAATAATAATGAGAATTATTAYAGCAGTAACCAGACCTACCTTATGAAACTCGGATGTAGGTCAAGCCACATCTGATGCGAGCGAAATCTAACGAATTAAAATTAACACGTTCTTTATGATATAGTTGACAAGCTCACTTTTTCAACGTACCTCTACCTATGATATAGAATGTGATACAATATCATGAAAAATTCGTAAAAAACCTTCAATAAGCATTTTTTGATATTTAAGAGTAAAATCCCTTTGATGTGATAAGATCATAAGAATAAGATTCACAATCTCAATAACAGTATAAACATTAGATAAATGAATAATGATTATTATGAGAAAATAGAAATATGCATAATAATGTACGTGGTCTTATAAACCAAATATTAATATATTTTTTAATGTTATACATTGAAAAGATTATATTATATTTAAAATATCAAGACAACAAGCTTAGAATATTATATGAATAATAGTCAAAAATCATTATATATAT